GTTTCAATTCCAGCTTACTACTTAATAGTTATATGACTGCAGGTAAATTACTTAACCTCTTGTATTAGTCCATTTATGTTGCTTATAACAAAATACTTGGAACTGGGTAAAAATTAGTAAAGAAAATGAAATTTACTAATTACAGTTTCTGAGGCTAAGTCCGAAGTCCATCTGGTGGTGGCAACAGTGACCCAGTGGTCTCACATCACAAGATGGTGGAAGCAGAGAGAGCAGAAAGAGGGAGACTCTCCTCTTCTTTTAAAGCCCTCAGAACCACGCCCCTGACCCCCATTTTTAATCCATTCACTACTGCATGATCCTACAATCCAATCACCTTTTTATGGCTCTACCTTCAAACTACCATAATAGGATTTCCCACCCTCTTAACAGTCACAGTGGAAGCTAAGTTTCTAATACATAAAACTTGTGGGACACAATTCAAGCTTCAGGGTGTTTTGGGGGGGCATAATTCAATCCACTACACCTCTCCAAGCCTCAGTTTCCCAATCTGTAAATGGAAATAACTATTATTTTAAAAATTAAATGAGGGGGCCGGCCCGTGGCTCACTCGGTAGAGTGCAGTGCTGATAACACCAGGGCCGCGGGTTCGGATCCCATATAGGGATGGCCGGTTTGCTCACTGGCTGAGCATGGTGCTGACAACACCAAGCCAAGGGTTGAGATCCCCTTACCGGTCATCTTTAAAAAAAATAAAATAAAATAAAATTTAAAAAAAATAATAATAAAATAAATAAAATAAAATAAAAATTAAATGAGAATGTGTGGAAAGTGCTTGGCACATCTAGGCATTAAAATAGTTACTGTTTTGGTTGATTAATTGATACTGATTTTTACTTCAGTTTCCAGGAATATGGATCTGCTGGAGGAGCCCACGCTGATAGTGAATATGAGAGAAGAATGATGTCTGTATATAATCATGTCTTGGACGAAGTGGAATCACTTAATCGGAAATATACCCCTGTTTCTTATATGGCAAGTGGCATTTGCTTTATTGAGTTTTTATTTGCAAGTGGGTTTTTTTATTCATCTCTGGCACTTAATTCTGTAAGCTCAACAAGTTAGCCTCTCTGTACCTGTTTTTTTAATCTATAAGACAGTGTTAATATAGTACCTACCTCATAGCATCATGGTGAGGATTAAGTGAAATAATCCATGAAAGCAATTAGCTAGCACATCTCTAGCTGCTACATAGCCACATTAACATGTAAAATCTGCTCTATAGAATGCAGATAAAAATTTCTTTTCTTTTTATTTTTTTTTAACAATTTAACTGAAGTTGCAGTAGTTCTCAACCCTGGTTACACATTAGAATCACTTTCGGAGGTTTTTATAAAATACATCAATATCCAGACCCCACCACAGACCAATTAACTGTGAATCTCTGGAATTGAGGCCAAGGCATTAGTATTTTTAAAAGCTCCTAGGTGATTCTGTCATGCTGCCAGGATTGAGAATCACTGGCCAATTGAAACAGAACTGGGCTTGTTGTCTGACTGGTAAAAATCAATTCCTTCCAAGTGATGACATTAATATATTTTAGTATACTTTTCAACCTTTAGCCTTCTGAGTCTCTGCCACCTTTTGCATTGTTCAGTACTCACTCTTTATTAAATCTTCTTTCATGACTTCCCAGTCACAGAACAGACTGACAGACTCTCACCCAGATTTTCTTCTCCCTGTCTGCCTATTCCCCAGTGTCTCTGCTCAGACCGTTATAACAGAATACCATAGACTGGGTGGCTTAACCAACAGACATTTATTTCTCCTGGTTTTTGAAGCTTGAAGTTCAAGATCAAGGTGTCTACAGGTTTGGTTTATCCTGAAGCCTCTCTTCCTGGCTTTCTGATGGCCACCTTCTAGCTGGGTCCTTACGTGGTAGGGAGAGAAAGAGCACTCTGGTATCCCTTCTTCCTTAAGTATACTAATCCCATCATGGGGACCCCACCTCCAAGCACCATCACATTGGGATTAAGGCTTCAACATATAAATTTTTGGAGAACACAGACATTCAGTCCATAATTCCCAGTCTTTGAACTTTACACCTTAGACAGTTTCCCTTCTCTTGCCCACACATGAGATGCTGGAATTCTCTGTAGCTCTCTCCTGGCTATTGCTCTTCTCATTGCGTACTCTCACCCTTTATCAAGTGTTTTAGAAGAAATTGGCAGGATGTGTTATTTAAGAGTTAGATTAGATTTAAGGATGAGTACTCTCCTTGATATACTGCTTTCCATATAAAATTGTCAATAGTGTTTTCCGAATTGAATTGACACAGCTGTTTGACACTGAGATTGACTGCTAAGGGGTATTATGAATACTATCATACACACATCTGTGTAAGGCTGATTATTTTCATATTACTCTAATCACCACCCTAAGAAATTAAATAGATCCCAAACAGTAAATTCTTTTTTTTTTTTTTTGGTAGCTAGCTGGAATGGGGATCCAAACCCTACGTTCATTTTGATGAAGTTGAATCCATTGAATATAATGGAGAGAATGGGTAGGAAGTTTCTGCCCAGGAGGAGAGACAATACTGAGAAAAGAGACTTAGGTTCATTCAGAACTAAGTTCAAAATCTGGCTCTGCCACTAGTAGCTCTGTGACTTTTGACAAATTACTTAACATCCTATTATGTCTGTAGTGGATTGAATTGAGTCCTCCCAAAACTCACTGAAGTTTGAATTGTGTCCCCCAAGTTTCATGTGATAGAAACTTGGCCCCCACTGTGACTGTTAAGAGGGTGGGAAATCCTATTATGGTAATTGAAAGGTGGAGCCTTGAAGAGGGGATTAGATTGTAGGACCATGCCATAGTGAATTGATTAAAAATGGTGGTCAGGGGCATGGTTCTGAGGGCTTTTTAGAAGAGAGAGGAGAGTCTGTCTGCTCTCTCTCTTTTCCTCCATTTCTGCAACGTGATCCCTGCCATCACTGTTGCTACCCAAGGGTCTTTCAATAGCTGTGTTCTTTGGACTTTGGACTTCCCAGCCTCAGAAACTGTAAGCAATAAATTTTGTTTTCTTTATAAAATACGCAGTTTCATGTATTTTGTTATAAGCAACAGAAATGGACTAATACAGAAAATTGGTACCCGAGAAGTGGGGTGTTGCTTATAACAAATACTTGAAAATGTGGAAACGGCTTTGGAACAGGGTGTTGAGAAGGGACTGGAAGGATTTGGAGGAACAGACTAGAAAAAGCCTAGATGCTGGTGAAAGTTTAGTAGACAAGAAAACCAGGGAAAGTTTGGAATATTTTAGAGATTGGTTAAATGGTAGTGACTGGAATGCTTATGGAAATATGGACTGTAAAGACCATTCTAAGGTGGTCTCAGAAATAAGGAGTTTTTCGGAAACTAGATGAAGATCAGCCTTGTTGTGAACTGGCAAGGAACTTGGCTGCACTATGTCCATGCCCTAGGACTTTGTGAAAGTTGGAACTTAAGAGCTGTGAACCAGAGTATTTGGTGGAAGAAATTTCTAAGCAGCAAAGCATTCAGGACGCTGCATGACTACTTGTAACAGCTTATGCTGAGTTATGGCAGAAAAGGTAAGATGTAAAGCCAGAATTTAAAAGGAAAGCAAAGCATAAAGATTTAGAAAATTTGCAGCCTGGCCATGTGATAGAGAAGCAGAGAGTATTTTCAGAAGAAAATTACAGTTGTGCTAAGAAATTAGTACAAAAGAAAGGGATTATCAAGAGAAGGGGGGAAAGGCCCTAAAGGCATCGCAGAAGCCTCTGGGACCAACCCTTCCATTTCAGGCCCAAAGGACTAGAGAGGCAGAATGGTCTTGAGGAACAGGCCTCAGGTGCCCTTCATGGACTCGCTTCTCAGGACCACCTCAGGATGCTGCTTCCAGCACCAGCACCCCACCTGCTTTGGCTGCTCCAGATGTGGCTAAATTGGCCCATAGTGTGGCTGGGCCTGCAGCTTTGGAAAATACAAGCCAGAAGCCTTGGTAGCATCCATGTGCTGTTAGGTCTGCAGGCCTCACAGAATGCCAGAGCTGGGAAGGCTTGGGAGCCTCCACCCCGATTTCAAAGGATGTATGGAAAAGTCTGGGGACCCAGGAAGAGATCTGTCACAGGGTGTGAATTCACCACATAGAGTCTTCACTAGAGCAATGCTGAGCAGAAACATGGGGTCAGAGTTTCAGCAGAGAAACCCCATTGGTGCCATGCCTATTGGAGCCATGAGAATGGGACTGCCATGAAGACCCAAACCTGTGGATCTACCAGTGAGCAACACCAGCCTGCAAGAGCTAAAGCATCACCTGGGACCAAGCCATAGAAGTGGAACTGCCTGAGGACTTGGGGACCCAACCCACACACCAGTGTGCAGAGGACGTGGAACATGGACTCAAAGTAACTGATTGGCCAGCTTTGAGGTTTAATGCAGGCCCTGCTTGGTGTCAGACTTGTTTAGGACCTGTTAACCCTTTCTGTTGGCCTATTTCTCCCTTTTTGAATGGGAATATTTACCCTATTCTTGTCCCACCATTGTGTCTTGGAAGTAGGTACTTGTTTTGATTTAACGGATGGGACTTTGAACTTTGGACTTTTGAGTTAAAACAAGTTAACACTTTGGGGATGAGATGAAAGTATTTGCATGTGAAAAGGACATGAGTTTGGGGGGCGAGGGATGGAATGTAGTGGATTGAATTATGTCCCCCCAAAACTCACTGAAGGCTTGAGTTGTGTCCCCCAAGTTTCATGTATTAGAAACTTGGCCCCCACTGTGACTGTTAAGAGGGTGGGAAATCCTATTATGGTAATTGAAAGGTGGAGCCCTGAAAAGGTGATTAGATTGTAGGACTGTGTAGTAGTGAATGGATTAAAAATGGTGGTCAAGGGTATGGTTCTGAGATCTTTAAAAGAAGAGAGGAGTTTGTCTGTCTCTCCACTCCTCCATTTTCTCAGTGTGATCCCTGCTGTCACTTTCACCACCACCAAGACCTTAACCAGCTGTGTTCCCTAGACTTTGGACTTAGCCTCAGAAACCATAAGCAATAAATTTTGTTTTCTTTATAAATACAGTTCCATGTATTTTATAAATACAGTTCCGTGTATTTTGTTATAAGCAACTGAAATGGACTGATACAATATGAAATGGAAAAAAATACCTCATAGGATTACTGTGAAGTTTAAATAAAATAATGCATATTGCCTAGCACAGTGCCTGGCATGTGAGTGGTTAGTAAATGTTAGTTCCCTTTTCTTCCTTTCCAAATTGTATTTCATGGATTTGATACTTCCTGAGCCCCCAAATTCAGTTCAGCAAGTATTTATTGGATTCTAGAAACAGAACAATGACAAAGACACAGGGTCTTCCCTCAGGTTTTCCATAGCCTTAGAAGAAAGAATTTGTAAACAAATAGACACAATATGGTATATGTGCAGTAATAGAGTTCTGCACTAGTTTGAGATGTAGCACAAAAAAGAAAATGAGCAATTTGTGTCAAAGGATAGGGAAGATAGAGTGCGGGTGCAATTCAGAGAGATGTCTTGGCATATGAGTTTTCCAGAGAGATAAGGCGGGGTAGGGAATCTCAAGCAGAGAACAACATGTTCAAAAGCAGAGGCATGAAATAGCATGGTGCCTTCTGGAAAAAGCTTTTGTTTTTGCTTCAGTGTGACATACAGGTGAGAGAAAGATGAGACTAGAGAGGTAGACAGAGGCCAGATGACAAAAGGCTTTGAACACAGTTTTAAGAAGTTGGACTTTCTCCTATAGGCACTGGGGGGTTTTTTAGGAATTTTAAATGGGTGGGGAGAGAAGTGCTTAAGATACAAGATTGTATATTATTGTTATATAGAAGCAGAACAAGTAATGGCTTGGAAGGCATGAAATTAGAGGAAAGAAGAGTGGTTTTGAGACTTTTGTAGTAATCCAAAGGAAGGGCCAAATTAATAAAATGGCAGTAGGAATGAGAAGAACAGATACATATGAAAGATCCTTTACTGAGACAGACAGTAGAACAGGGGTGGTAGAAGATTATGAAGGTTTCACTTTTCATTTTTCAAACATGTGGCTGTCTTATGGAAAATAAATAAGTCTGGGGTTGGAAGAAGGAGATGGCTTGGGATGCATGAAAGGTCGTCATGAGCATAGAGATTCTTATAGTCATAGAAGCAGAGAGAATTGCCCAGGAAGAACGTTAAGGATTGAGAAGAGAAGATGACTGAGAATAACTTCACCATTTAAGGAACAAAGAAAAGAAGATCTTAGGAAAGAAGATCGAGAAAGGAAGAATCAAAAAATAGAGTGTAGGCACTATTAAATGGAATTTTATGGAAGAAGAGCATTATCAGGTGCCACAGAAGTGCCAGAAAATACAAAGAAAAGTATCTGTTGGATTTGGCAAGTAAGAGAGTGTTAGTCCTCCTCCTGGTTTACTACTAATCACGATATGTAATTTCACATCTCCAGACTGTTACTTTGAAAATAATCTGCTACCAACATACCAGTGCAGATGTGTCATGGAGCTAGTGACCTCAGAGGCAGTCCAGGCTTTCCCAATGGGGGATTACAAAATATGCATCCATTCTTTTAAAAGGCAACATGGTGGCTTTCTGCCCAGAAACAGTCTGAAGTCACATGTGGTCCTCTAAGTCCACCGTTTAAAGATGTTTCTCTCCATATACACTCTTGTAGTGTCAAAGGTTCCACTGCAAGTAGGATGTTCCTGCAGATGCTTCCCGGATTTCTTGTTGCAGGAAGATGAATAGTGCTGCTTTAGCAGTTAAGCGTGATGAAATACAACCAATGTCTTTAAATCTGTGTTGTGGTTATCCTCCAGTAATAGACTGGACCAGTAATATCATTTGTACTCTGAGTCTATTGGGCACAAAATGTTCAACTGCCTGAAACCGTTAAGGAATGGATTTTTTTGGTTTTTAGCTGTAATGCCCAACTTTTTGAAGCCATGTTTTGTATAGCATGGTCAACTAGGTGGCACCCTGCTTGGAAGCAGGAGCTTAGAAGGGCAGGCAGCAAACTGTACAGTGCAGTGGTTTTCACCCTGTGGTGTCTTGCGTGGGGGTGGGAGGAGGGTGAGACAGCAGTAGACTGAGGAGGGGATAGCAGACCAAGCAGGAATAGTTCTGGGTCACCCGAAGTTATGAGTCTTCTGATGATGCTTTAATTTTTTCCTATTAAGTTTGGAAATCATTGGTGAAATAGAAAAAAATCACTGAAGAGTTAGGCAACCTAGGTTCTAGTCCCAGCCTGTTTGATTACCTGTCTGTGTGACCTGTGTCCTCAGCAAAATTGAGAATTGGACTGGATAATCTTTAAAGTATCTTTGAACTCTTAAATTCTGATTCTATGACCCCTTTCACTAAGACTCCAAAGATTCACTGTAATGTTTCTATTCCTCTGCAGTTATTCTGGGATTTTCAAAACTCAGTTAATTTTACGAAATAGATTTTAGAAATAAGGTATTTTGTTAAGGTTTAATAATTCCATAGAGGTAGATTATATAGTCATCTTTAATCTGGATTCTAGTTAAGTTTCCGCCATTGCTCACTCTCTGGAGACCCACGGCCATAGGGATAGAAAAGCCACGTAGTGGAGATGGGATGAAAGAGTGAGCCAGCTCAAAGCTGAGTTCTGAATGGGATCTGGTGTCAGGCCTTGGGTACCTGTGCACTACTCTGGCTTTTTTACCATACTCTAACATACCCTGCCATATCATAGTTACTGTATAAGCATATTTCAGTAGCTAAAATAATTATATAATAATATGTTGTCTGGTAGCTGTAAGCTCTGTAGAAATGTGAAATTTGCCTATTGCTTGGCCTTAAGGAATGTGGATTTTCTCCTTTCTGTTATTTTTTTATTGAATATAAAGTAAAGTAAAGTAATTTTACTTCAAAATAAAGTAAAAATGTGTAATTGTACCCCTTGACTTGAATGATTTGGTAGATATATACAGTTCCTGGATGTTGTGCCTGTTTCCTGATTTGGAGTATACTTTCATAATAATCTATATGAGCATTTGTAGTTTTAAACTTCTTCCTGAATGTATTTGATGAAAATTGAAAATTTATTTTTATTTGATTTAGTTTCTTTCTTCCCCCCCAGCATACAGCATGCCTCTGCAATGCCATCATTGATTTGCTGAAAGTTCCCCTTTCATTTCAGAGATATTTTTTCCAGAAACTGCAGTCTACTAGCATCAAGGTAATATAGGAAGAATACTAAGGTTAATGTAGGTTAAAAAACCAGCTATCTTCTGAAGAGTAAGTGGGACATAGCTACACTTCAGTATCTTACCTTTGGTTGTGATAAAATTTACCGCCTTTAGTTGTAAGCCTTTTCTCCCTTTTTCAAATGCTTTGGTAAAGGGAATGGGCTTTGGGAATAAACCCCCTCTCCCTTTTTAACTGTCATTGTCAAATGCATTTGGATATCTGGAGCTCTGTTCCTTGTCTCATACCTCCAGGGATAAGTTAGTGGTTTTTATCATAGTAGTCCACAAGGATCTTGAGCTGATTCTATGTTGATCAGCCTGTTCAAACCCAACTAGAATGAGTCAGGTCCAGTAAAACATCACCAGTCCTACCTCCAAAGCACTTTTGCCTTTGAATAATAAGTTCTGAGGAGGTGGCCAGTGGGTAGAGTTAGTATTTTAAAATATTTAAGCCACTCAAAATTCAAAAGATATTTTTGATTCAAAGAATGGAATTGTTGGGGAGGAGGGGAAATTGCCACTTCTGAGAGATTTCTTGGATAATCCTTTTCAGTTAATGTCTTCACTGAATTTTTGCATCCATTCAAATACTTTTGATTGCTCGATAACAGCATTCCATTTCAAAATGACCTGACATGACCGGATGTCTCCAGGGTTGATTAGTTCATGGCTGAACAACATTATCAGAAAGACCCAAATTTCTTCCAACTTTTCATTTAGCAAGACTTGAGCTTTGTGTAATTGAAATATATTTGGGACTTTAATAACATTTTTAAAGAAAAACTATTCTAATGAGAGGTTAAAAATGTCATTTGGTTTATTTGTGGAAGTTGACTTTTTTATACCATGGGAACGTCATTATATAAGTAATCCTAGAATTTTAAGTTCATTTGCGTTTGAATTTAGTCTGTTCAAAATTACCTAGACCAGGGGGCCGGCCTGTAGTTCACTTGGGAGAGTGTGGTGCTGATAACACCAACGCCACTGGCCGGTTAGCTCACTTGGGAGAGCGTGGTGCTGACACCACCAAGTCAAGGGTTCAAATCCTTACCGGTATCTTTAAAAAAAAAAATTACCTATACCAGAGAGACAGCAGCTGGACCTGAAAATTTACAAAGTGCATTTTTCTACTGGAAGTGATTCATTGTCCAAAAAATGCCCCTCCACAAAAACTGGGAGAACAGTGCCTTCGCTATTCTCTGATACTCTGTTATCATCAAACAGAACTGAGATTTCAGGTGAAAAGCACAGTGGTATTTAAAAGGAGGAATTGGGGATAAGGAAGCTTGAATAGAAAGGTCCATCTATCAGGTCATGAAGGTGGAGGGGTGCATGCACATGTGAAATCAATGGTAAGCACAGACATATTTGTTGGAAGGATGCTTGCTCTTGGTTGTTGGCATTTATTTTAATGTTGGTATTCCAGCTTGCTCTGTCACCATCCCCCCGGAACCCTGCAGAGCCTATCGCTGTCCAGAATAACCAGCAGCTGGCGCTGAAGGTAGAGGGAGTGGTTCAGCACGGATCTAAACCAGGACTCTTCCGCAAAATTCAGTCTGTCTGTCTGAATGTTTCTTCCACATTACAGAGTAAATCCGGACAAGACTACAAGGTAATTTAGAAAAAGAGGCAAAATTGTGATGCAGATTTTAACACATTGATGGAAATATTCTAGTGTTTTTCATGGTTAAGCAGACTGCAGTTACACCTCCAAAAGGATAAGATGCACATAAATTAAAAGCACATATTGGGGCTTGAGGAGGATGATAAACAATACTTCTCTTTTTCTTGCCTGAACCAGTTAATAGAGAGACAAAGCATCCAGGCAGACAGAGATCAAAATGTGAGTTTTATTACTGTTAGAGCTGTGGGAAAACCTAACCCAGGTGCCTGGCAGCAAGGACTTCCTAACCTTGTACCTCTGAATTGAATTTTCCCAGCTAGTTTCAGCCAGTACATATGAGAGCCTGCCCCTGTAAAATTTATGGCAGGGAGGAGTCCAAACTGATGCCCAAAGGAGGGGAAGAGGAGGTGCTTAGCCCCTCATGCCTGGCTCTTGCCCTGAAACGTACCAGTCAGTAAGACTCACCTCCTCTCCTGTAGGCTAGTACTGTTAATCTAATGAATGGTCGATGCCCAAAGGAGGGGAAGAGGAGGTGCTTAGCCCCTCATGCCTGGCTCTTGCCCTGAAACATACCAGTCAGTAAGACTCACCTCCTCTCCTGTAGGCTAGTACTGTTAATCTAATGAATGGTACCCCCACATGGAGGGATACATAGGAGTGGAGCATAAGTATCTCCCTAACACCCCATCCCACCCCCAAAAGCACACATCTATTTTTTTTTCTATTTTAGTATTTTTTTTAAGTATTTAGAATTGACATACAGCGGTCAGATAAAATAAAATCTTTCCTTAAGGGTGTAACCCTAGGGATTTGCTGCTTTGAGAAGTCATGAGTGCGTATTAATTAAAATCAAGCTTATTTTGTTAGCCAGAGCTAAGATGCTGAATCAGTGCCCATGAAATATTAGTGTTCCAAATATGGAATGTTTCTTTCTTTAGGCATCTCTTTCCAATTCCTTGGTGTTTCAGCCACAGTAAGTGGAACAAGGGAACAAGTCCAAAGTTGTATGAGCAAAGTTGTTCAAGTGCCCCAGATTGGTTGTGTCCAGGTTTATAGTGGCATGTTTGAACTGAGGTTCCTTGGCAAGGAAGGGGGTATCAGTAAAGATATAAAAAGAGAGCATTTCATTCTTTTCATTAGTTTTAGGCTAAAAAGCCAAGGGAAGTTCTCCTGGTTTAAGCTATCATTACTTTCTTTTTTTTTTTTTTTTCGATTTTTGTTGTTTTGTCATTACTTTCTTTACTTTAGTAATGTCTTCTTACTTTGGCCCTCTGTCCACTCTCTGATAAGGTTCAGACTTTGTTCTTGTCTCTTCCTCTCTTTTGACTTCCATGACACAAGGCATGGTGCCTTATGTAGCGGCTCAGTATTTGGTGAATGATGATAAAGAAAATCATTTACTGTATTTAGAGTACCAGTTAGAGTAAAACTGTTGTGATTGGGTAATCTCTGCTACCACAGAAGGTTCTAATGAGAATTTATGTAATTTATCCCTGTCTGCGGCTCTCTTCTGTTCTTTGAATTTGCAACAACAGTTAACTGTGATTCTCTTTGTTCCTCATATATAATAATTTCTACTTTTTTTTTTTTTTTTTTTAAAGGTGACCGGTAAGAGGATCTTAACTTGGTGTTGTCAGCACCACACTCCTGAGTGAGCCACAGGCCAGCCAATAATTTCTACTGTTAAGAAAAAAACATTCAAACCTATGAGCACTGGTCTTCTGCTTGTTGACTTACCTCTCAAGAGGCATTGATTAAAGTCAGGAAGCTGGGCTGGCCAGTTACTCATTTGGTTAGCGCATAGTGTTATAACACCAAGGTCAAAGGTTCTGATCCAAACCGCCAAAAACCGTCAGGAAGCTGATATCATAAGCCATGTAGTACGTGATTGCTTTGTAGTATTACTCAGTGAATTTGCAACTTAAAGTGCAATCATCAATTCAGGATGATCAGGTTACCTAGGCCTGTTTCTTATCTTTTAAAGGAAGTTCTTTGGTAGGCAAATTGTTGAGACAAATGAAAGCCCTACAAAAGCGGAATGTGAAAAAAAGTACCTATACTGTAAATAATTTTAAGATCTTAAATTGGTTGGTGCCTTCAGTTTATTAATGTAACAGTCTGTTAATTGTAACAGTCTGTTAATTGATGTAAATGTCTCTGGGAAACTGACCCCAGGATAACTGCTCATTGAGACACAAAGCTGCAGGGCACATTTATATGAGGGCACTTCAGAAAGTTCATGGAAAAATAAAATTAAAAGATAATATGGATCTTTCCATGGGTTTTTTTTGAAGTATCCTCCTATAATTAATTATACCACAGAAATACACATGTAAGCATAGAGCAGTTTGGTTAAATATCTATTAAGTATACCTTTATATGCATTCTCAGAGTCTTTCTCTTGACATGCTCCATCTTGGGTACAGGTAAGGGTACACCAGAAGATTTTATTCTATTCTTTGAAGGACAAAGGCATGAGTGTCTGGCTAAATAAATGAATGAGTCCATAAATGTGTGTTTTATAACATATGCAACCAATCTGAAGTAGACTCTGAATATTAAGTGAACAATGAGCAAGTTCTAAAGTTAGTTAATTTGTTAAAGGAGTAAGGAATCACTACATTACTTGAGTGATATAAAATCAGACTAAGGGCCGGCCCGTGGCTCACTTGCAAGAGTGTGGTGCTATAACACCAAGGCCCAGGGTTCAGTTCCCTGTATAGGGATGGCCGGTTCACTCACTTGGGAGAGCGTGGTGCTGACCACACCAAATCAAGGGTTCAAATCCTTACCTGTCATCTTTTAAATAAAATAAAATAAAATAAAATAAAATCAGACTAGGAGAAAACTCTAACGTAAATTTACT